CATATTTATGCTAATTAACATAATAAAAATCGAGCTAAATGCATCAAACGCGTCATTTAACCTGATTGAAAAATAAATAATTGCAAAAGAAGGAGTTAATTAGAAAATTGATGTTCATCGTGGTATAATGTATGATTAATTCAATGGATGCGATATGAATAAATGCGCGGGACCACCCTGCATAAACTGACAATAATTTGGGGCATATACAGATTATTATTATACTGATAAGGGAGCAATTGATTTTTGGCCCATCATACATACATGGAGTAATGATCATATGATTGGTTGGGGCAAAGCGATGTTCTTGATTTAAATGCGATGAGCGTTCGCGCGCGCTCGTTATTTAGGGAATTCCCCGAGGCTTTTATATACCGGCGACTAAGCTTTCATATATAAAAAAAAAATTCTCAAGTGACGAAATAGAAATTTTTTCTTTTTGTTTTTTTTTTAAGTATCGCATACAATATAGATACAGCAGCATTTTGATTAAGTTATAGTTTTCACGCTTGTTGCCGCAATTTTCATGCTTGACGCGCATCGCTCCCTGTTTGCCGTTATATATATACTGTGTTTTGTTAAATGAATTTAACTCCGCTATATAATTCTATATACTTTGCTGGTCCTTTATCGCTTCGCTATATAACGCTTTTATCATAAAATACTCGGAGGGATTTTTTTCGAAAATCTGGTAGCTAAACATGCGCGAAAAATTTAGTTGAATTGACGCTTAACTTCAACTTCTATTTTTAATAGTAATTTTAACTGAACATTTTTCTCCGTGTATATTGAATTTTTATTTATTATCCATTTTCAATTTTCGAAATCTAGATTCTTTTTTCAGAAACACATTTCTAGTTTATTATTAGAGTTTGATATTAAAGTTTGAATTCACAATTGTATTTAAATAAAAGAGGTGTTATGAGATCACTTAAAAAATGAATTATATATATATGTAACCATCATGTAGTGGAAAAAGATGAATCGCAGAGATTAGAATACATCTTTTATGCCTTAATAACAGGAATTAAATTTATTACTGAAGCATATCAAATTTATCTTGTTCCTTTCATCGTCTTCATAAATTTTGAGATTGCAACCGCGATCCTTCGGCATAAACGCATATATGTTTACGATTATCATTATTATCCTCCTTTTTTTATAACATCAAAGCACTCGGCTACTTTTCATAACGAAAAATCTTATATTGCATCGAAAATTTTCAATTGCATAATATAATTTCAGTTTCCTTAAGACAAAAAATGTATCAAAAATGTAGCGAAGCAATAAGTTTTTGATACATTGTCTTAATTTGAAAATAATTAAAATAATAATTAAACTTAGAAGAAACGAATGACAAATTGAAACCTAACGAAAAATATAAATTTATAAAGAAAAGAAAAAAAGGCATATGATTTTTGGACACCGAATATTTATATATATATTTATGTATTATAAGAAAAATCTTTAAGGTCGATCGAAAATATGTGGATATTCCGCCTAAAGGTTACAAACACTCTTATACGAAGAGGCTATATTTCGCTTTGGGACTTGCTGCGCGCGCACCGAGTGTACGGCGAGGCGGCGTCTTTTGATCTTGCCTGTAATCCCGTCGGGCCCCGCGGCCTAACTGACGTCATTGCCGAGGTGTCCGCCATCTATATGAGTATTTGCGTCCCCCTCTGTATATATATATATACATATAGGTGAATATTTCTCATATATATATATTTAATATATATACATATATGCACCGAGTACACCCTCACTATATATATATGCGAGTCTATTGATGGACCCGTTTATGTGTATATATTTATGTACAAATCCAAGGTGAACGCGCAACTTCAGCCAAATGAAACAAAAGTATACGTTATTTGCATCAATCGAGCGAAATCAATTTTTCATCATTTCGTATTCAATTTTTGAGTAAATAAATCTTTGATTTTTAAGGTTTGGTGTTATTCTTTTCTTGATCTTTCTGGTTTTTTTGTTAATCTTTTTATTTTTTTTTTGTTAATCTTTCTATTTTTTCTTCATTTTTCTATTTGTTTATTTTTGACAAATTATTATTTTCTGAATTTGAATTAGTAAACATCTTTGCTAATTTAAATTAGTGACTTACTTTTTTGCATTTAAATTAGTAAATTTTACTAATAAATTCAAAGAAACTACTAGTTATTAGTAAAAATGACTAATTCAAAAGCAACTAAATACTAATTCTATAAATTTATTAGTAAAATTTACTAATTCAAATTTCTATTAATTTATTTAGTAAAATTTACTTTATAAATTTATTTTACGTTAGGTTTAAATTTTCATTCATTTTTCGAAGTTTAATTATCAAATTTATTAGTAGGTAAAATTTAATAATTCAAATTTCTTTTAATTTATTTAGTAAAATTTACTAATTCAAATTTCTATTCCTTTATTTAATAAAATTTAGTAAATAAATAATTAAAAAGCAAAATTTGATTCAAAAGCAAAAAGTCAATTTATTTGTAAATTTTACTAATAAATTAGTAGAAGCTATTAGTTATTAGTAAAATTTACTAATTTGAAAGCATAAAGTCAGTCACTAATTCAAATTAGTAAATATTTTTACTAATTCAAATTTAGAGAGTAATTTTATTAATATGATTAAAATTTGATTAATAATAATTTTATTACTAATATTAATTATTGCATTGAAAAAAAATTTGTGATTAGAATAAAAAAATAAAAAAAAGTTTACTAAATAAATATTCTTTCCTTTTTCTGCAGTCAATACAAAAAAGGCGCATCTTTAAAAAAAAATGTTTCGAAGATGATCAGATAAGATAAAATTTGGTTTTCTATACTTTTTATAAAAGAACGCAAAAGATTTATATCTCGAAGATTTAAAAGAGCAGTTTTCCGATTAGAATCAAAATGGATTCGTCTATAATTGCTTTCCCTGTAAGGTGCATATATATTAGATTTTGATAACTTACAAGGAAAGTCTCATACAATAATACACTTTATCGCATCCAATTATAAATACGATGCTAAAAAACCTCGTAAATAAAAATCTCTTCTAAACAAATTTTGACGCGTAATTATTTTTTTCTTTCTTGGCAAAATTTTGCAGAAGCTTTTTTTCCATTTTATATCGTTTTAGAAGTAAATTGTAAATATTAGTAAAAATTTTTACTAATTAGAATTAGTGACTGTCTCTTTTGCTTTTGAATTAGTAAATTTTACTAATAAATTAGTAGAATTACTATTTAATTTTTTTATTTTACATTTTTCTTTACTATTTAAATTACTATTTATACTATTTAAGTTATTAGTAAATTTTACTAATAAATATTAATTTCTATTTATTTTAAAAAATAGTAGAAATTACTATTTATTGGTAAAATTTATTAATAAACAGTAATTTGTACTAATATAGTAAATAAACTAATATTAATTTAATTAATAATCTAATAATAAAATTAATAAATTTTACTAATAAATAGTCATTTCTATAATATTTTCTACTAATTAATTATACTAATTAATAAAATTTACTAACTAAGTAAATTAAACTTAGTAACCTAGTAAAATTTTACTAATAAATTACTAGAAATTACTATTTATTAAGTAAAATTTATTAATTCAGCAAAAAAATTCGCAGTCAATAATTCGAATTAATCAATATTTTTACCAATTTTAAATTTAGAGAAAAGTAAAATGAAATGTAAAATTAAAAATAATGAAAAAATAAAATTAAAAGACTTTTCTTTGCTTTTGAATTAGTAAATTTTTATTCGTAAATTAGTATAGAATTACTATTTAATATTTTTTATTTTATACTTTTTACATATTTTTACTATTTAAATTACAATTTATTAGTAAATTTTACTAATAAATATAGTAATTTCTACTAATATAGTAAATAGTAAATAAACTAATATGAATTTAATTAACAATTTAATAATTAAATTAATAAATTTTACTAATAGTGATTTCTATATTTATAGTCATTTCTACTAATAGTAAATGGTAAATAAACTAATAGTAAATTTTACTAACTGAGTAAATTAAACTTAGTAACCTAGTAAATTTTACTAATAATTTAGTAGAAATTATTATTTATATTAGTCAAATTTACTAATTCAAAAAAAAAATTCGCAGTCAATAATGCGAATTAGTTAATATTTTCACCAATTTTAAATTTAAAGAGAAGTAAAATTAAAACTAAAATTAAATGTAAAATCAAAAATAAAGTAAAAAATAAAATTAAAAGACATAATTCCAATTAGAAAACGCATTTTCTTCTGAAATCCGCATAACGTTTTCTTTTCTCTTTTATTATTTTTTTTATTCAAAGTATTTCAAGAGTCGGAAGAAAAAAAAAAGAAAATAAGTTGAGGGATGAGACTCCGAGGGGGTGGGTGGGGGGGGGGAGAAAAAACTTAGAGAGAGAGAAGAAGTGTCGGAGAGAAGCGGCGATTTTATACTGCTGGCAGCAAAACCACGAACCGTAACTTCTGTCGGATGGACGAAAGAAGGTTCGTCTGTCCGTGGCCGCATTATAATATCGCGGGGTTGTCGGCCGTGCACGCGAGCCGCATCTCATTTCGCTTCTTTGCCGCGTGGCCCAGCGCATAATATTTGTTTGACTTCGTAATTATATGTTACGTTAATTAAGAGGGGGCCCTAATTACCAGTAATTAGGTGTGCAAGTTTAAGCGGAACCTTGCGTGTCTCTGCGCAAGTACATCCCTTTTCTTTCTATTATTTCTTCTCTTCATATTCCCGATGCGCTTTTTCTGTCCCCTTAATTTTTATAGGTACAACATATTTTTACTTTTTCCATTTTTTTTTTTACGATTCTCTTATTTTACCTTATACTACATTCGCGTAGGGAAATTATTTCACTTGACCGAACTGAATTAACCTATGTTATTAATGTTATTAAACAGAAAAAATTTCGAAAAAAAAATTAATAAAATAAAAAAGGTAATAATTTTTTGAATTTTAATTTCTTTCAGGACAGGGACGAGTGAATCAGCTTGGCGGTGTTTTCATAAATGGACGACCACTGCCGAATCATACTCGTCATAGAATTGTCGAAATGGCAGCGAGTGGCGTGAGGCCCTGTGTCATTTCACGTCAACTTCGCGTCTCTCACGGTTGTGTCTCGAAAATTTTGAATCGCTATCAAGAAACGGGTTCAATAAAGCCGGGAGTCATTGGGGGCAGTAAACCCCGCGTCTCTACACCCGAAGTCGAGGCTAAAATCGAGGACATGAAGAAACAAAATCCAGGAATGTTCAGCTGGGAGATAAGAGAGAAATTGATAAAGGTTTGTTGTTAATTTAACAATATTTATGCCAGTAGATAAAAGCTCAAGTATAGATTTTACCCTAAAAGTAGGTATTTTTACCCCAAAGTAGATTCCACCCCAAAATAGGTTCTGCCTTAAAGTAAATTCTATCTTAAAGTATATGTAGATTCTACCCCAAAGTAGGTTTTACATCAAAGTTGGACTCTACCCTAAAGTACCTTTTACCCCAAATTAGTAGGTTTTACCCCAAAGAAGATTCTACCCCAAAGTAGGTTTCACCCAAAAGTAGATTCTACCCCAAATTAGTAGATTTTACCCCAAGTAGATTCTACACCAAAGTAGGTTTTACCCCAAAGTGGACTCTACCCCAAAGTAGGTTTCACCCAAAAGTAGATTCTATACCCCAAAGTAGTAGGTTTTACCCCAAAGTAAATTCTACCCAAAGTAGGGTTTGCCCCAAAGTAGATTCTATCCCAAATTAGTAGGTTTTACCCCAAGTAGATTCTACCCCAAAGTAGGTTTTACCCCAAAGTGGACTCTACCCCAAAGTAGGTTTCACCCAAAAGTAGATTCTATACCCCAAAGTAGTAGGTTTTACCTTAAAGTATAGATTCTATTACCCCAAAGCAGTTTTTAAACCAAAATTCCCTTTTTGAATAATTTCTTACTCAAAAAGGGAATTTTGGGGTAAAAACTGCTTTTTGGGGTCCTAATAAAACTGACTAATAATCGTTTGTTCGCTTTTGTCCTCAGCAGGACGGACTTTGCGAGAAGACATCAGCTCCATCAGCCTCCAGTATTTCGAGATTACTCCGCAGTCCTTCGGCTCATATGAAGCCCGGCGACGATCCCCGACGAAATCATTCAATTCACGGAATTCTCGGTAAGTGATTTCTCCATTGAGGAAATTTATTTAAAATTTATATACGAAGTCAATTATTACCCAATTTTTACAAATAAAATCGCTTTTAAAAATTAATTTCCAAAACGAAGAAACATTTCCATTTTTACTCAATTTTCACCTTTGCCTCAAATCAAAGAAAATATAACGAATTTATTACTAACACTTCACTCGAAATTTAAATTTGACGCCTTAAAAAATAAAAAGTCCCGCGTAATTTATTAGTCAAAAATTGAAAAACGATAAATTTTATATCACCATGAAAAAATATATATATGCGCGTCAGAATATAATAAATGTGCGGGCAATTTTTACAAGTTACGATCGAATAAATGTGTTATTAAATAATAACATTAAATTCACTTTATACCAACAAAAATTTCGAGTGAATTAATAATAAACATTTCGTTACATTTTTATCGAGCATAAAATTATATATACAATTTTGCGAACGCGCGCGATATTATATGTTGTGCAAGTTTCGAAACTTTGCGAAAACTGGGTCCTTCCGCGCACATATATAATATGCATGATCGAGAGTTAAACTTAATTATAGTCCGCCCGAAAATTAAGTTAATTAAGTTAAGGTAGCCGTGGAACGATAACGTGCATACAACCCGCACCTTCATTTTTGCCACTCCGTGAAAATTATTCTCGCGCGCATCTGTAGCACGAATCTACCGCGATAAATGTTGAGAAAGAAAAAGAAAAATTCCTTCTGTAAAAATAATTAAAAAATTTATTCAAAGTAAGGAAAATTAATCAACGAAAATAAGGAATTATTTAACTAACTAATCAACCAATAAACTGACTAAATAATTTACCAACTAATTAACTAACAAATAAACTAACTAAAAAGTGTGAAAAATGTCTGCGAGAAAAAAATAAAAGAGAATAATATAATGTCTAAAGAAACTAATTGGTTGAAATTTAGTTGCTTTGAAGAATATTTTTTAACCTGAAATAATGAGTATTTTTTTCGAATAATTTAATAGGATAAGAAAATATATAGATTCCGTCGGCACTCGTAAAGAAACCAACTTGTTGCTTTTTTTCATATATTATATCGCCGCGAAAGAGCGGCGCGCGAGAAATATTAGGCGTCCTGCGGCGCGTGGATGTGTCAAGTTTATTATCTTGTCTGTTGGATTTAGTTTGATTAGATTTGTCTACTAAAAATTTCATACCGAAAATTATTTCCACACACATTTTCATTGTCCACAAAAAAAATTCTAATTTAAAAATTCAAAAAAAAAAATTGTGGAAATATAATTAACTTTAAAATTTCTTATTGAAATCTGTTTCAAAATTCCGAAAAATTAATTAGCTAAAGGCTCGAAGAATAGTAAAAACTAAACGAAAAAGAAAAACTGAAAGAAAACTATAAAGACTATAAAACTAAAAGGAAACTAAAATCCATAAATTTAGAGAGAAACAAAAAATAATTATAAAGAAGAAGGCAAAAAATATTATCTGCAGAGAAATGAACAATTGTAGAGAAATAAACAGAAAATAGTAATTATCGAGAAATAAACAAAACATTGTAATTATAAAGCTCTAAACAAAAAATCATAATGTTAATACTTTAATTTTAAAAAAGTCCAAAGCACTTTCCGGAGAAATAACAGCATCAAAAACGTTTCTTTTTCAATTATTCTACACGAATTTCCGTGAATCAAGTAAATTTCCTCCCATTTTTTCTCTTTGCGCAAAAAAAAAAATGTAGTTCAGCTGCGAAGAAAAATTAAACTCTTCTCGCTCGAACAATTCTCGTAACTATCATCAGTATGACCATAAAAGAAATCGAGTACTTAATTTTCAAAGACAGCTAAAACCGCACAATAATGGTCACTGTCCCGGAAAAATCGCCATTCGAGAAGGGGTAAACAAAATTACGCGCATTCCTTCATAATTTCGAGTGTCGTAAGCAATGGCAAATTTCCACGAAAGATTCTTTTATAAGAGGCTGATCCTAGGGAGGTACACAACAGCAGCGCAGGTAAAACTGATGAGGATAAGATGAAGGGCGCGCAAAGAACGACCGAGAAAGAGAGAGTGAGATGAAATAAGTAGCGGAAGAGCAAAAGAGAAAGAGATGAAAAAAAGTATACTAGGAAATCGCTGCGTGTGGTCCAGAAGCAGCGCACACTCTTCTTCTTCTTCTTCTTCTTTTTAAATTTTATTTTCCATAATCCAATTTTACGCAGAAAAAATTGTCCGAGTCTGTATCATTTAAAATCTATACTGATTATACTCAAAATTCCGACACATTTCGATTAATTCCAATCAGAATTTTACTGGGGAATTAATTAACGAGGAATTATAGTAGTTTTCAGTAATGCGGCCTAAGCCGATTTTCAAAACTATTTAATTAAATATTTTTTTGATACCTTATATAAATCAATCATATACTAAGGATTCTTTGAATAAGTAAAATTAATGTTTAGGTTCTTAGTGTTTCTTTAAAGGTTTTTTACTTTTGAACGTCGAAATAAATTAGGTTCAGTATCAAAAAAGAGAAGTTTAGCATAATTGCAGGTCGATAATATTTTCTACAGACTCTAATCGAAAATCTGAGTTGCAATCAAAGAAAAGAAAAAAAAGAAGAAGTAAAAGAAGATGACGAAAAAGAAGAAAAAGACCAAAAAGGAGAAAAGACAAAAAGGAAAAAAGGCAAAAAAGAAAAAGGAGAAAAAGAAGATGAAGAAGAAGAAACTATTAGACAACTCTCAAGTGAATGAAAGAATAAAGAAAGAGGAAGCGAGAATCTAAATCAATAGTGCAGTTAGTTTGAAAGCAATACCCAGAATCAAGGCAAATCAAAAGCCACCAGTTGCGCTCTTGGCGGCCGGCATGAAAAGATTAAAGAGCTCGCGCACGAGATCGTAAATCCTCTCGCGACGCTTCGCGAAGCATACCTAACTATTTCTCCCGAGACGGCGTGGTTTCTGCGACCCTTCAGCACTATACTCCCGCCGCGTGTGCTGGATGCTCTCTCTCTCTCTCTCTAAAAAAAAAAGAAATCTCTCTCATCCGCACGAGCTACTGTCCCGAAGAATAATAAACTTCCCTCCCGCACCAAAAAGGCCGCGGCGAGATATTATATATATCCCGCAGCATCTCAATTCGCTGGACCGCAAAAGACTCCGCGCGCCAACGATTTCTCCTCGTCGCTTTATTAACCAAACCGCAGTCCTTAAATCAATGCATCACCCACTTCATCAAGATTCAATTTTTCTTTCGCGGTTGTAATTGCAACGCACTACATTATATCCTCTTTTGAAATTATCTCCCTCGGAATATATTAGGGGAATGTGTACTTGGAGTGTTAGGCATAGTTCCGGATGACTGCGAAGTTTTGTTGGGTAATTAGGAATACGTGATTAGTGCTGCAGGAAGGTAATTAAAGAAGGGTATTAGTACTATGCTATTGTAGCAATAGTAGCAGTATTGCTAGTAGCTGTATTATTAGCAGAAGTATTGAGAGTTAGTATTGTTAGTATACCAGTGCCAAACAAACATTAGGCAGTTGTTACTTTTTACTGATAAGAAACTGTTTTTTAACCCAACGTCAAATGCGACTTATCCTAGGTTGTCACAACTGATAGCAGATTTAACCCAATTAGAACTTTTTGGCACAATTTTAAAAACGGTTCGTGATAATAAACCCCAAACTATAAAAACTTATCTACCTGCTATTGTACTCTCAATACTGTTGCAAATAATACTTCTGCTAATAATCCTGCTACTCTTAATACTGCTGCAAATAATATTTCTGCTAATAATCCTGCTGCAAATAATACAGCTACTATCAATACTGCTACAAATATTGATAATAATACCGATAACAATACTGTTATACTCTCAATACTGCTGCTACAATAATACTGCAGACTTTAGTCAGGGCGAGCAGCGGATCCTGCAGGACACTGCAGGATTCGCTGCTCTCCCTGACTAAAGTCCATATGCAGGCAAATCTTTCCCTAATTCATAAATAACAAAAGAAATCATAGAAAATCTGGTAGATTATCATCATCCACCAGTTGGTCATCCGTACCAGTTACAATTAAGACATTCCTAAAAGGATACTGCAAGCATTGTATGCCATTCACAAACATCAGCATTACAAATGGTCCAGTAGAATCCATTTTTCAGAAAACACATTCAACACATTCGTTAAAAAGAAGGCATGGACATTAGTTGCGCTTTCTAAAAAGTAATGTCAGCACTTTTCCTCCTTCTCACACTCTCTTAAAATCTTGAGAAAAACGCTATTCCGAAAAGCTTGTTTGATTCGTCACGTGAAAATTGGTAAATGACGATGTTCTGGAGTGACCAAGTATTTGTATTTGAATTATCGCGTGGCTTGTAGCGTTCCGTTCCGCATGGTCCTTTTTAGCCTAAGGAAGAAGGAAGGAAGGAAGGCAAAGGGACATGTCAAAGAACTTAATTCCTGTGGCGGCCCCTAATTTCTCCGGTGTTTTAGTTTAGTATAGGTTAGGTTGGCACGGCTATAATCAGGAGGGATTTAATGGTGGGTTACGTGGCATGGCTTGTGAACTGTGGGCGTGTACCACTCGCTTCCTATCTTCAATATCTGACGTCTAGCACGTGCTGAACTAAAAACACTTTTGTATCGCGAAATGCGATATCATTTTTAATCAAACTCCAACTGGATTTTCTTTCGTGGAAAAAAGCTCCTATTAGATTTTCCTCTAATGATTTTTCTTTTTTGGTTCCAGGTGGAAGTAGTGGTGACGATTCGGACATCGACAGTGAGCCTGGCATCACTCTGAAGAGAAAACAACGAAGAAGCAGAACAACATTTACAGGCGAACAACTCGAACAATTGGAAGCAGCTTTCCACCGAACTCAGTATCCTGATGTCTACACTAGAGAGGAACTAGCCCAAAAGTAAGTCCATATACCAAAACCTAAAAATCGTAAATTGTACCAAAAAACAAATAACAGATTTTGTTTGTTCGTTTTATGAATTTGGTATTAAGGAAAGTAATTTTCAGAACAAAATTAACGGAAGCAAGAGTCCAGGTCTGGTTCAGTAATAGAAGAGCAAGACTACGGAAGCAAATCAACAGTCAGCAGATCAATGCCTTCAATACCATGAGTCTACAGACTTTCCAGCCACAACACTACAGCAGTCCTGACAGTTATCAAACCTACAGTCAAACCTCGGCAGCAGCAACCACTGGATACTCACAGGCCTACAATTACAGTGACAATTACTATTCCTCACAGCAACAGTGGCCGAGATCGACCACCGACAACTATGGGTAAGCTATCTAAATCAATCCTTCTCTAAATCTTTATTTGCGACATAAAGGGACATAACACAAAACCTTTCTATTTTTGAACAATGGGCAAAGTATGGCAAAGCATAAGGAGAAGAAAAAAAAACTCTTCTCACATTTTTAAAGTTTGTCATCTTTTACCCATACTTCCTTTTCTACACGGTTTAATACAACACTCGCAACAATTAGCAAATTAACTCGAAGAAAAGAATCAGATTCAAAAACCCACTTTTTCGAATCATCTGGCAACATATTTTCCATGACTAATTTCCGAAACGTGAGCGGAAGTGGAAATGGACCCCCCATCGAGGGGATGGAGTGAGTCTTGAAAAAGAGAAAATCGCGCGACGTTTCTTTTCGTGCAGAGTGGTGGTAGTAGTGTACATATGTATGAGAGAGAAAAAGAGAGAGGATAAGAGGCATCAGGCGTTGAAAACAATTAATTCAAGTATTGTGGAGTAATAATAGGTTCAAGTTTGCAAAAGTGACTATATACAGCATCCCGCAAGTGAGCAGATACAGTGTGATCGCTTGTGGTCGGGACCCTCCGGTGTGGTCCGCAATTATCTTCTCCTGGCCCCGTAATGAAACGCTACCGGCTAATAATCCAGCCAAGAGTGCTGATCCTTCCCGCTATTTCACTCTTTCTATATACTATATACAAGTTAAAGACCATGTCAAAACATTTCTCTCGAACGAGATAAAATTTTCTCTTGGAAAAAAATTTACATTTCTTCAACATTTTCCGTAAATATAAAGTTCACCAATTACTTTTCTCTGTATTTTTCCCATTTCTTTATCTAGATCTGAATCTGAATCCAGATCAGAATCTAAATCTCTGAATTTTTTTATCTGAATCCAGATCGGAATTCTAAATCAAAAACTGAATCGAAATTTAAATTTGAATCTACAAATTGAAATCTAAATCTAAATCAAATGGGAAAATCTCTAAAAAATCGTGTAAAAGAAAAAGATGTTGCGAAAGAACCGAGGAGTTGTGTATATTATTGTAGAATGAAAAACTCCTACCAAGAAAGAAACACCTACCAATTGAAATTACGTCTTTTACCCTATCACGTTCTTGCCACTGAGGTATGTACTTATACTCTCAACACACGCACAATTTAACTTCTCTGCTTCAATGACTCAATTCCCAACAATCAAGATAATATCACCCTTTGGCGAGAATTAATTTCATATTGTGAAAATTTATTTCTTGCGTTATATTCGTCAATTATTGCTCTCCTCATGATCATTTTGTATAAACGATATCCATTAGACATTTACATTCGCGCAATTAAAATTTGCTTCTTCTTTTTTTGCGTCTTCGATGCGATTTTCATATAATTAACATGCTAAACTCTCTATCTCTCCTCTATGCATAAATAATAATAACAACAACTTATATTAACGTAAATAAATAAATTAAATAACTTATAACTCTTATAATACAAAAAAATATTATTAAAATACATTTTTAATTCACGAAAAAGGAAAACTAATAAAAAAAATTATAAAAATTACACTGGAGAAAAGGAGTTAAATTTCAATTCTACAAAATTGACTAATGGAAAATTATAATTAATTGCAAAATTGCGTGTGTGAATATTGAGAAAAAATTTAAAATCAAGATGAAACGATCTCTTAAAAGAGATTTAAAAAATTGTTTACTGATTTCGAAAAGGGGATTCAAAGTGCGCCGCTGTAAGAGTCGAGACGACTCTCTCGACACGCCCTACAAAAAATAATTCTACTATTCCTATTGGCTTGCAATGATTACAGACCGGAATGTCTTCGAGTCAATGATTTTAAATCTTGTCACTTGAAAAAAAGACGAAAAAAAAATTGCAAAAAACGAAGCGATACAAAGTAAAATATATACTAACAGATATAAATCCAGTACTAAAAATAGATATTAATGTAAAAAAAAGTGTTTTTACTCCAGTAGCTCCACTATAAACTGATATTAAAAGAGTCTTTAAATTATGAATTATGCATTTATTGACAACATTTAATTCTGCAACGGAAATTATATGTTAATTATTTTTTTTTGCTCTTTTTTTCCTTTTAAAAATTTTACAGTAATATGCAAAAAACTATTTTGTAGAATAATGAGGATAAAAATAGTAATGGCTATAATAATTACTCATCAGTTACATTTTGTATAAAGAAATTTAAGAAGAAGAGTACAATTTTAATTCTCTAAATTTTACTCTTTTTGATGTTTTTACTCCAAAAAGGTGCAAATTTTCCTGATTCTTCACTAATTTATAAATTTAATTAATCAAAACTTGAATAATTTTGCTAAGTAAATATTTAAATACTTCTTATTCCTTTTTTTACTGGAAATAAAATTTAAAAAATTTCAACTTCTGAAATTTAATAAATTCTAAAAATTAAAACTATAACCCTTCAAAATTTCAATTATCTTCTACAATTTTTAACCAAACTTCATCTCTAAATCAATAATTTATTATAATTTTTAATAATTTTCGAAAAGTTCTTAGGGAATTCAATTATTTAAATAAAAAAATTCAATTTTTTATAATAATTGAAACCGTCCATTTTTCTTTTTAAAAATATCAAGGTAGAATATTTTCAAAAATTTTAATAAAGAAATTCGTAAATATTGACTTTTTAAAAATATTTCTAAATAATTTTTGAACGACAATAGTTTTACAATAAATTACAAACTGAATTAAAAAATGTCCAAAAAATTGAAATTTGATAAAATGTTTTTAAAAATAATTTAAATTTAGTAAAATCTTTTAAAAAATAATTTAAATTTAGTAAAATCTTTGAAAAATAATTTAAATTTGATAAAATTTTATTAAAAATAATTAAGTTATTAAAAAATATAAAAAAATTAAATTTTTGAAGAATTTTAATTATATAAATGATTTTTCAAAAATTCTAAAATTTAATTTTAATTTACTTTTTTCGATAAGGTATTTGAATCTTAAAAAATTACGATATAAATCAATTCTAAAAATTACTTTTTTTTTATAAATATTGTAATGTAATTTTTGGAAAATAATTGAATGATTTTAATTAAAAATTTTGATTATGATTATTTTCTCCAAAATGTTGTAAATAATACTAAAAAATTTTAATGTTATTATTTTGTGTATGTATTTGAATTGTCGGAAAGATTAAAAATATTGATTATCGCAAAAATATTGAAAATAATTGAATTTTAAAAAATTAGAAAGAAATAATTGAGAGAATTACTTTTTTCAAAACTATTATTTTAATATTATTTTTAGAACATAATTTTCATTAATTTTCAGTTTTATTGTATTTATAAATTGAGACTTGAACATTATTCATTAAAATTTTTGAGAATTCAAGTATTTTCAAAACTTTTAATTAAAATTCTTTAAAAGTTAATTTTCAAAAATTGTAAAAAAAATACTTAAAAAAATGATTTATTTTCAATTAAATTTCACAAAATTTTAATTATTCAAAATATTTCTAATTGTATATTTCAAAAATGTAATTAGAAAAATTCAAAAATAAATTTTCAAAGATTTGTCTATATATAGTTATGCGTTCCACACTATAAAAATCGAAATACGTATTTTTATATAATAAAAAATATTTTTTTACCAAAAATATGGTATTTTGTCGCAAAATTTGGAAGAAAAGTCGAAAAAAGTCGCAATTTTTAACCTGAGTTAAAATTTTAGAATTAAAATTCAAAAAGGGAGTTATTTTTACTTCGGGGGGAGTTGGGAGTTAAATTTTAATAACTCTATTTTTTTACAGTGTAGTTTAACCCTTAAGAGTAAAAATCACTTGTTTCGAATATAAGAAAAGAGGATTAAAAAAATTTTTTTTTTCAAAAAGCTTCGAGAAAAAAGAATTAATAAGTAATAACAAAGTTTTTCTGCGGATATCAAATTGAGACAAAAAACGAATTAAAAATGTTGCAAGGCAACATTTTTGATTCGTTTTTTGTCTCAATTTGATATCCACAGAAAAACTGTGATAAATAAAAAATATAAACAAATAATGATAAATAATAATAAATTATAAATAAAAAATAAATTATAAAAAAAAAATGGAGAAAAGATGGAAAATTATAATTAGTAGAGTGTTTTCTTAATTGTCGGCAATTAAAGTTATTTTCATAATAAAGAGAAGGTGTCACAGAGAGGGGGAAAAAGGGAGGGAGGAAGAGAGAAGGAGAATGGGAGGGCGAAAGGTGCTTGAAAGTAGGCTTTAAGAAAATTATTATAGCAAGAAGCGAGTTACGAGCGAGAAGATCGTTTTATGTATAGTTTGTAAAAACTCACAGGGTTTGCCGCCTTTTAATTTGGATTCTGACCATTTCTGTTGCAGACTGTTCAACGCCTCCCACTACGGTGGCGGTAACTTGGCCTCAAATTTGGCCTCAAGCAACCTAAATTTGGGCAGCCTGGGAGGCAGTGTCAGCCCGTCGACAGCTACCAACATGAGCACGTGCATGATACAGGGCGCTTCGTCGGGTGTTCCCACTTCCGGAATGGGACATCATCATCACGTCACACCGCATAGTCCGAGTGAGGCCAAAAGTGGCTATCCCTACTAGGGTGGCATCGACACTCATTAACCAAATTTTCACGAAAAAAATAAAGAAAATTCACAATTTTACAAAAAAAAAAAAATACAATTTTACAAAAAACTAGGTACAATTTTACGAAAATCTAGTTTTGCAAAAAAATTGCTATTTTACAAAAAGCTAGTTTTGGGAAAAATTACAATTTTACGAAAAGCTAGTTTTGCAAAAAAAATTGCAATTTTACAAAATTGTACCAACAATTTTTGAAAAAATGAAAAATTTAACAAAAACAAATTTTTTCTTAAAAAAAAACTTTTTGGAGAGTTGAAAAGGTCACACGACCTTTGTTTGTAAATAAAATGTTTAGCGATCTTTAGAAGTAGATTTCTACTTTGAGTAAATTGCACTTTGTAAATAGTTGTAATTATAAAAGTAAGAAAATAGTGATAGTAAATAATTTTAGTTAATAACTATCGACATTTTCGAAAAAAAGGTCAAAGCGATAGATCTCATTGGTTTACAAGTTTCTTAAAAGCAAAAAACATTTTTCTATTTAAAAAAAAAAAAAAAAAATTAAAATATTAAAAAGCAATTAAAGGAAATTCTTACGATTGTATTATAGTTCTAAATAAAATTTAGACCCAGTGAAAATTATTACTATTCGCAGTATAATTTGAATATTTAAAAAAAAATTGAAAACAGAACTAAATTTTAATACAAAAAAAAAAAAAATTCAAGAGAGTAAAAATCTAAAAACTAAAAGAAAATTGTTTAAATTGTAAAAACTAAATGAAAATAAAAAAAAAATTAAAAGAAAATAAAAGAAAGTAAAAGAGACTAAAAGAAACAAAAAGAAAGTAAAAAAACTAATAGAAACAAAAAGAAACTAAAAGAAAGTAAAAGAGACTAAAAGAAACAAAAAGAAAAAAATTACTCGTAACAGAACGGAAAACTTTGGAAATATTTTCAAAGTCATTGTCATCAATGTGTTAAAAACCCTTTTTTTAAATAAATGTTTTAAATAATAATAAAGGCGATAATTTTAAACTGACTGTTAAAATATCAGAAATTATTTAAAATTTGTAAAACAAAAAAAATTACTAATAGAAAAATTTAATTTCAATATTTCCTTTCTCTTACTACGCAATTTTCAGTAACATATTGCGCTCGAGTAATTTTCTTTTGTAACTGTATCTGAATAAATTGGCCAGTGCTTTTTGTAAATATGAAAAAATTTATTTTATATTCTTAGCTCGTAATGTTCAGCGAATTTACATACATAGCTATATATTATGATCTGTACGATTGAATGTTAAAAAATAAACCTTCGTTTCATAAATAATATCTTGTTACTATATAACCCTTTCCATAAATAATCAATTTTCGAACTCCAAGAAAAATTTCCTAAATCCAATTTTTTTTTTCATTTTCTTTCAAGTTTGAACATTCGTAAAATTAACTTTTTGAAAATATTTCTAACTAATTTTTGAATGACAATAGTTTTACAATTACATACTTATTATTAAAAAATGTCCAAAAAATTGAAATTTGGTAAAATCTTTTAAAAAAATAATTTAAATTTAGTAAAATCTTTGAAAAATAATTGAAATTGGAATAAATTTGATTAAAAATAATTAAGTTTTTAAACAAAATTTAAAAAAAAAATTAAATTTTTGAAGAATTTTAATTATAATAATAGTAAATAAAAATAGTAAATAAAAATAATAAATAAAAAAAATAGTAAATAAAAGTAGTAAATTTAAAAAAATTTTAATTTACTTTGTTCGAAGGTAATTGCATCTTAAAAAATTGTGATAAATCAATTTTAAGAATTAGTTGGTTTATAAATATTGTAATGTAATTTTTCGAAAATAATTGAAGAATTTGAAAATTACGAAGAAGAAGTTTCGAAGTAGAATAAATTTTAATTAAGTTTCTTATTGTCAATTTCCTTGAAAATAAATTTCAATACTGAATTTTTTATCAAAGTTCCAAAGGAGGATAATAAATTTTAATAAAATTTTTCTAGTGTCAATTTCCTTGGAAATAAATTTCACTCGTTTTGGAGTGAAAATTCAATCGCCTAGTTTATTATTACTAGTTAATTATTAATAATGGTCACATCTATTATTATTTATTAATATTTAAAAAAATATTTTCAACATAATTATAAATTTTATTTTTTGAAAATATAAATTTTTTTTCAAAGTTTAATCAAGTTTTAGAGATTAAAAGTAACAATGTCATATGAATGTCAAAGAAATAAAAAATGTTAAAGTTTTGTTAAAAAATTGATTACATTTTATGATATACATTTTTCATGCATATGAACACGCATTTTTAGATTTCAATAATAGTATCTCAGTGCAAGTGTTGAAAGAAAGTATATATATTCAAAAGAAAAGCAAACATGGACTATCGAAGCAAATTTTTGACAGGGCTTGGTTTGATTTTGTTGCTGCTCGTGGGAAAAATTTCAATTATTACAGAAAATAATGTAAGTTTAAGAAGAGAAAATTCTATTTAAATTGTTTATTAATTATTTTCATTTTGTTCTTAATGCGAAACAAAACAAAAGATAATTTCCATTTTCTCAGATAATTGTTTCATTAATTTTGTTAAATAATAATACTTTCAGAAATGAATAAATAATAAAAAAGAATAACAAAATTTGTTCAAAAACTGCGTTTTTAAGTTGAAAATAATTTTAAAATAATATTTTTTTATGATTACATAACTTTATATCTGTTACATGCATGTTGTATATAAATGATAAAGAGTTCGAGTCAGAAAATAAAGAAAGCAATAAAAGAATTTTTTTGTAAATTAAAAAAAATATTTATCAAGCAATCGTGAAAATAGTTAATAATTTTTTTAAAGAAATAAAAAAACAATTACTTTTTATGACTTTGTTACGATTGAGGTATATATAGTTTGAGATAAAAGAATCAAAATGAATTTTTAAAAGAGTTGTTTTTCAATGTAAACATTTTACATTTAAAATTTAGGATATTATTATTCAAATTTTTCATTATTGCAAAAAAATTGACTAAGTAGAGTAACAATTTTTGTAATGACAAAAAATTCTTTTAAAAAATGCATTTACTAAGGATGCATCTTAAAATTTAAAAATTAGTGGATGCTTCTGAAAATGAGTATATTTTACAGGTAGAAGAAAAGGAAATCAAATTTGACACGTTGGAGAGTGATATCTGTTCTCTTTACGATAATTTATCAGTAATTGATTATGTACTTTTCGAAAGAGAGTACAATCCGTTGGTAGTAATTATAGCCGAAAAATTTATTGACGGTGTAAACAGAGTTATGAATTTGAGTGAGAGCTTAAGAATTCTGAACGTTTATGACCCTAGGCGCATCCCTTATAACAGACAACTGCATGAAATGATATTGGAAAATATTTATCTCTTTGAAGTCAACGACTCATATTATTTCGTTTATCCACTAAATATTCAGGACCATTTTTTGACCATATATTCCCAAAAAAAGCTATTAAAGGACAATTTAGACATTACATTCGATTTCGTTAATGTAAACAAAGAGTATTCTGTCTTTGAAGATATTTTCATTCCACTCCAACCAAGCTGCACCAATTGCCCTCTTGTAAAATATATAAACGAAAAACTAGAAAAAGGTGAAAGCTTTGCAGAATTATTCGAGTTACGCAAACAATTATTTAGAGAGAAGGAAACAAAAAACTTATCCTTTGCATTCAATAATGACATTTGTACTTCGATGGGATTCAACGTAAATTCTCAAAGTGCGAGTTCTTTCTTGCATTTTAACACGTTACTAAAACAAATTCAAAGCAATAGCAAAAGTCTAGAAACTAAAAAAAGAAGAACTGTGGAAAGAAGTTTAATTTGCATTCAGTCAAGACATCCGGAAGTGGAAGATGTTATTTTCAAAAATAATAGTAAACTTATTACTTTAAAGAATCTTATGATTATGATTGATTATTTAAATTGGGTCAATGACACTATATCTTCATTGTATATCAATGATACTTCATATGGCGGTCTTTGTGAAAATGAACACAAAATAGAAACACTTGACTTATTTTGTTTTATGAAAGAAACATCAGATGTTACATCTCACAACATAACAGCATGGATAGAAGTCCTAAAAGAACTTGTTGCAAAATCAGTGATAAGCAAATTAAAATGGTTTAACGACTTAATATTTTTGTATACAACTGAATATATTATAAGAAACAATTCAATTTCCTTTGCACTTGATTATCTTAAAGAGGGAATGCTAAATGTAACTAAAAGTTGGAGTAAAGTAATGACTGCTGCTTATAACCTTATTGTCGAGAATTCTCTGGTAAGTTTTAAACCTTTAATACAATTATAAAATTTTATGGATCAGTATAGAAAATTAATAATATTATCTAAAGTACAATAGGAGATCTAAAGTATTAAGATCAAAAGTACTTTAATATAAATTGTATTATTTATAATTTATATTCATTGTTTACAGACTGTCAATAATAACAACTACGAACCTATAGACAATACAATCTGTACTATTTACGAACATTGGAAAACAATTGATGATTTGCTTCTTGAGGTGAAATTCAAGAAATTAGTGATAATTGTAACAGATGATATGACAACAGGAATTAAAACTGTTCACCAAATAAGAGCTACCAGAGTAGAACCAAAACTAAGACGAGAAGATCTTCATTATTCAGAACAGTTTCTGTACGATGTAATTATGAAACATATTTATTTGGTTCAATCAAATGATACTTATTATTACATCTACCCAACGACTACCAAAAGGCAAGAAAACTCATTGATTGGCTATTTGGAATACAAAATGATTCGAGATTATTCAAAAGTTGTGTATTATTTTATTAACTTTTCGAATTATTTTAATGAACCAAATAGTCTTCATTACATTGATTTGGCTATTCCTGCACTACCAGTTTATTGTGACATAATTTCAAAAAATTGTAAGACTCGCTATATTAGTCCCTCATATTTATTGAAAGTACATCAAGAATTTTTTCACCGTTTTCCAGAACATTTTCATTTATATGCTTCCTTTTATAATAATTTTCTAGAATTTGCGAATAATTACGATCAACATTATAAAGGCAATATTAACATTACATACTTTTTGGAATTTCGTAACTTTTTGAAACAAGAAATTTCTTTTGACGTAAATTATTTATTTACTGATTTACCGTGCTTACCTTCGAGAAAATTAAATAGAAGAACTGATATTGATTTTAGTTTGACTAAACTAGTTGATGTTTTCTACATCTATAATTTATTTTATTTTTCTAATAAAGAAATAATGTTAATAAATGACGACGACAATACTAATTTAGAATCTCTTTGTAGTAAGAAAAATATTCTTAAATTTCTTAAATTTTTTTGCTTTTTAAAAATAAATTATGTTGACGGTATACTAAGAGATATTGATCAAAAGTCGTATTACATTTACCAAATGGAAAATGTTGTTAAAAACAATAAAAACTTTAATATCAAATATTTGTCGGAAACTATAAAATGGATAGAAAAATTATTCTCACTGAATTACATTCAATTTAAGTATAATGAGTCACGAATTTATAAATTATCGAACTCTCTTTACTCTCAAATACCAAAAATTACCTCAAACGGTGCTGATGTGTCTAACAAAATCTATTCAATTATTAAAAACAACACGATTTTTTTGAAATGCAAGAAATTATTATGAACTTTAGAAAATGAATATTAGATTTAGAAAATTAAAAAAAGTTATTTTTATAGTTAAAATTTTTGAACGAATATGCTGTAATAATAATATGTTTCTGACAAATAATTAATGTAAGTAATTTAATAAAAATTAATTGTGACTCTTAAATTTAGAAATCTTAGTCGTTTATTGACAAAAGCTAAAAAAAGTTTAAATACAAAAATTCTTTTGTTTCTTGAAGAAAGCCTTTTATGATAATGGAACTAGCAACACTTCTTACTGACTTTTTTAAATATAAAATTAGCAATTTTAAAAATAATAGAATTTAAAAATTTTCTAATTTAAATTTTTGTTAAAAACACTAATTACAATTTTCAATTAATTATAAAATAAAAATAATTATAACATAATAATAAAATATATAATCTGTCTAAAGTTTAAAAAAAAAACAAAAGAATAAACAAAAGACAACTTCAGAGTGTGAGGGACAAAAAAAGTGAATGAATGAAAGAACATTCAAATTATTATTTGTAGTTAATTATAGTTAATTCAAATTATTATAGTTAATAATTAATAATTAATTTTAAGCACCTAATTGTAAAATATTTAATTTATTAAATAATAAACAAATAAAATTTCTAATTATTCTATATTTTTGTAGACAAATAAGCCATTTCTCATCGACAATAATAATTTATTTAAAAAATATTTTTAACCAATTACAAACTTTATTTTTAAAAAATAATATTAATTGTTTTTCAAAATTCACACTATTAATTGTTTAGAATAAGAAAAAAAGTGTATGAAATTTATGAATTAAAATAAAAAGTACGAAAAATAATGAAAAATGTTGATTTTTTTTTAATTTTTTCAAAACTCATAACTATAGTGAAACTAAAAAAAAAACAATTTTGTTAACTACCAACTTTACTATTTTTTTATTGTTTAGAAATTTAATTTTGTTGAGAAAATTAAAAAGTGTATAAAAAAATGGAAATGAAAAATACATTTTGAGAAAAAAATTTCACAATTTTACAATTTTTGAAAGAGTTATAATATATGAGGCATTCCATGTCAAGTGATCCAGGTGTCTTACGGTGTAATGCTTATTTCGATAATTTTTTACTCTTAAACTATTAAACATAAAAATTTGGCAAGGTACATTTTGGAAAGGTTTTTTCATGCTCTTTCGATTGAAAATAAGCATTTAAAAAAAAAAATTTTTTTTGACCCAAGAAAATCAAAATTAAAAATAAATTTTAATTTTTTGGAAAAAAGGTCCCATTTTTTTTTTTTTTTTTTTTTAAACGAAAGCTGAGGTTTTTTCCTAAAAGGACATATAAATGAAAAGTGGGACAAGAATGTTTAAACATTGAAAAACAGAGGTTTCTACTCTCTAAACCCGGTTTTTAGCTCTGTTTACGAGAAAATTCATTTTTTCAATGTTTAAACATTCTTGTCCCACTTTTTCATTTATATGTCCTTTTAGGAAAAAACCTCAGCTTTCGTTTAAAAAAAAAAAAAAAAAAAAATGGGACCTTTTTTCCAAAAAATTAAAATTTATTTTTAATTTTGATTCTTTTGGGTCAAAAAAAATTTTTTTTTTAAATGCTTATTTTCAATCGAAAGAGCATGAAAAAACCTTTCCAAAATGTACCTTGCCAAATTTTTATGTTTAATAGTTTAAGAGTAAAAAATTATCGAAATAAGCATTGTACTGAAAAACCCAAAAATTTAACCTCCTCCCCCTCGGAAAATATTGGACTAGGTAAAAAAATATTTTCACGAAAAATTACTATCTATACTCTCTAAATCTGAATATGTGAAATTTCACTTATTGTACGTTATAAGTCGTCCTCTCGATCAATAAGTGCATATACACTTATAAATAAGTCAATTTTTCACTTATTCTGAGTGAAATTTCACTTATTATAAGTGTATATGCTCTTATTGATCGAGAAGACGACTTATAACGTACAAATATGTGAATTTTCACATATTCAGATTTAGAGAGTATATATTAGTACTACAAAAGCCCCAAGTTTTGCTACGATTGGAGAAAAATTTTTCTCCACCCGGATCACTTGACATGGAATGCCTCATACAGGAGAAAATTCCAATTCTCTAAATTTTAGTTTTTTTGCTTCAACTCCTAAGAGGTGCGACTATAATAGATTCCTATAATGGGAGTTAAAATTTTACACAATTTTTACGCATTTTTTTATTTTTTGCTACTTTTATTTTTTTTTAATAGTAACATTTTGAAATTGTAAGAAGAGTAAAATTTAAGAAGTTAAAATTTCCTCTTCGACATGAACTCCTTTATTAAATTGCAACTGCAAAATAATTCCCAAAAGAATTTGTAAAGATTTTTTTGTTTTACTTTTTAACTTACTTTTGGGATATAGACTATTAAGTATCGAAAAATTTACATTTACTCCCTGAATACTTCACTGTTATCATTTAAAAAATTCAGGAGTTAAGAAGTACAAAAAGAGATTCACTCTTTTTGTTTCAACTCCGGTACTTTTTTACACTAATAAATTTTTGAAACTACAACTGACTATCAATGGAAAATATAAAGATTATTTAGAAAATAAATTTAATGCACTGGAAAAAAACAGTAAAACTTTAACTCTGAATACGAGTTTATAAAAGTTACACCTTTCTGGAGTTAAAGCCGAAAGAGTAAAATTTAGAGTATTAGAATTTTTTAAACACACAATATAAAGATTATTTCGAAAATAAATTCAATACACTGAAAAAAACAGTAAAATTTTAACTTCCAATACGATTTTATAAAAGTCGCGCACCTTTTCGGAGTTAGAGCGAAAAGAGTAAAATTTAGAGTTCACAATTATTAAAATGAATTGGAGTTAAAAAAAAAAGATAAAAATTGAACCTGCCACTGCTTTTAAAATTCGGAAAGAATTATTGTTATTTTCATAAAATCCCCTCTTTTGGGAAGAAGGGAACTCCCGGGAACTCCTTTAACTCCTTATTTTTACACTCTATCAAAGTTTTGGAGTTGTGAAAAAAAATATGAATGAAATTGAATGTTGAACCCACCCAGTTGGATGCTTATATATATGTACACAGTGCCGACAATCGGATACAGTGACAACGAGCAATCAGCCTGCCGTATATCTACGGGTCCTGTCGCCACGCATTTGTACCCATTGTGTCTCCTTAGTAGGTGGTCGTTTCTCTACTGTCTAGCACAGAAAAGTTGCTGGCAGTTGAATCTTGTCTTTTTTTGCGTTTGTCTTTAAAATATTTTTCGTTTCTCTTCAATCGTCTCTCCCTCTCTCTTTTGCTCTTTTCTCTCTCTCTCTCTTGCTCTTATTTTTTTTCTCTCAATCTTGCTCTTTTTCTCTCTCTCACTCTTGCTCTTTTTCTTTCTCTCTCTCTTTCTCCTCGTGTCATTTCTTCAACCACATTATTTCCCATAAAAATTCCTCACTCTCGGAATCCTATTGTTGTTTCTCCTAACAGTACATTTACTCCTCATAAAATAGTTAACAAAACTGTTTCCACTTTAAACAGGAACATTGATAATTTTTCTTTTAACGATCAAATTTTGACACTGCAAAACAATTTTATATACACGTTTTCTTTTTTCACACGCACTTATTTTATTCTCAGGAATTTTTTTCCGCACTTAATTTTACGATTTATTGTGTATAATAGTAATTGTTCCTTTTTGAATAAAGAAAAACTAGAGCGGATTCAAACTATAAATTTATATTGTATAGAGATTTTTATTTTTTTTTATTTCTTCTTTTTTTTATATTTAAAGAAGAGTAATATTTCGCTCCAAGGAATATAGTATAAATATTGCACTCTACACTGGAGTAAAGAATATAATTTTTTAACATTACCATCTTTCAAATTTTAAGTAATTAAAATTTTAACTAATTTTATTATATTTCACCAATTACTACATTCTACCCTACAATTTTTTTTACTCTAATTAATTCTATTAATAGATCGGCTAATTATTATTAATTATTAATTAATTAATAATTAATATTAATTATTAATTATTAATTAATTAATAATTAATATTAATTATTATTACTATTAATTAATAATTAATATTAATTATTATTACTTTATTAATTTCCATTAATTGAGATAAAAAAAAACCCAAAAAGCGTACGACTTTTATAGAACCTCTTGGGAGTTAAATTTCAACTTTTTTGAACAGATCGGGAGTTGAACTAAATATGATGACTAATTATCCTAAATACTATAACCCTAGTAGAAATTTGTCATAGTATCTTTAAGGGCACTGGACAGTTCCACTGGAAAATTTCGAGGCACTTTACAGTTAAACTGGCTAAAAACTATAAAGTGATGTCACGCTAATTTCTTCAAGTTATTGTCCAGTCAAATTTTACAGTTTCTGATCATCAGTCCTGTAGAAAAACTATACAAAATAATTCACTTGGAAATGTCAAAACTTTCTTTATATTGACGTTACGTATTAAACACGTACAAATTTGAAAATATAACGTTAAATTTTTTTGTCAACAAATTAAATAAATTAAAATTTTACGAAACTATATTTTTACTGTTGGTGTATCTATTGTTCCGTATAATAAATGATTTATAATAAATTATCTGTAAAATTATTTTTAAATAACTACATAATTAAAAAAAAATATAAAAATTACTGATTCTTGAACACATGTCATTTTTTTACATTAAACAACATTCACTTTTTCCTTTAATTAAGCACAACACTGAAATAAATATTATTATTTTATCACACTACAAACTTATAAGTAAACCCTAATATGAAGAATTAATTCAGTTCAAACGAAAAATATCTAGCGGTTTCGGGGAGCGAACTCGGGTCACACTGGGACGAAATACCTAAACGCACGCTTTACGCATCACGGCCGTTCTAGTCGATGGACGATTCCGGAAAAATAAGAACCATACTCTACCGGCAGGTAAAGCAGTTCCCTTTTTCATCTTTTCTAGCTCAACTGGCGAATTACTGGACAGCTACTGCATAACACTCTAAAGTTGAACTTATTGATTATTACTGTATAGAAGTTCTGTCTGTCCAGTTATTCTCATGGTACTGTCTAGGCGTTCCGTGAAATTATGTTTCAAAGTTTGTCGTGGCGTTAGCGCTACCGTCAGTCCAGCAACTGAACAGTGTTGTGTAGACATTTTCCATAAATACATCAGAGTATACACTGAAAGAAATAATTCGCGGGTGTAACTAGAATTATGTCTATTTTTTCCGTAAGGAATTAGTAATAAATTGTTACTGTCTACTGTCATTAATTATAGACAGTTCTGTTATTCAGATCGGAGAGCTATACATATGTCAACGTCAATTCATCAATGTAAAACATAACCTCACTTTATTGG